TATTCTCATCTTGATGCTGCTAAACAACCAGAAGAAACTAAAGCACTTTTAGATGGAGATGAAAAAACAAATTAACAAATTAACTTTTATTAATTTATCAAAAAAGTTTCTTTTGTTTTTTGTGTTTGTAGAAAGAATAGTAAAAATATAATTTATTTTATCATAATGAAATAATATGAACTAATAAAAAAAATAAGAGGAAGATCGAAGTGGTTTTCGAGAATTAAAGTAATGCAGAAAGGAATATATCCAGAGTTTAATGATTCTATTGATCATAACTATGACATTTCCATACCCAGTAGAACTGATTTTATTGATAGAAAAAATATGCCAATTTATAATTCATATGAAGAATTATTTGAAGGTGATTTCCCTAAACGAAAATGGGTTATGGAAGATATTCCTGGGAAAGGACGAGGTGTCATTTGTTGTCGACCTATAAAAGCTGGAGAATTAGTATTTAAAGAACGAGCATCTATTTTATATATTGGTCCTGAAACTAAAGACGAAAATAAAGACTCAACATTTGAGTTAATTAAAAAAGTTTATGAAGGAGATGCTACTGCTACACCTTCATTTGTTGCACAATTAGCACAAAATCCAAGTAGAGAAAATGAATTTGAAAATCATGTACAATGGATGTTTAATGAATTTAAAAATAATTCATATCAATTTAAATATGAAGTTGTATTAGATGAATTAAGAAAAATTGTTAATGGGATTCATACAAATTCTTTTTCATTAGACTTTCAAGAAGGATTTGGTGTTTTTATGGGATGTAGTTTGGTTAATCATTCATGTTCAGAAAATATGGGATGGCATACTGTTGGTGATACTATGTATTACACAGCATTAAAAGATATTGAAGTTGGAACAGAGTTAACAATTTCATATTCATTTCCTAATGTTAATTCTAAAAGAATAAGATATTATCATGACTACTATGGGTTTGATTGTGATTGTGTGTTATGTACAAAAGGAATAGATAATTGGAGAGTTTTTGATTGTATTTATTGTGGGGGACTTATTTATCCTGATGAAAATGAATGGATTTGTCATACTTGTAAAAGAAAATCAACACAAGAAGAAATATTTTTTTATGAAGCAGAAGAAAAGGCTATTATGCAATTTAAACATGAAAGTCGTTATCGTTGGTTCTTTAGGCCTTTAAGAAAAATGAGTCCATATCATATGTATTTATTTAAAGCATTAAGAAATTATTTTATGACACAAGCATGTTCTAATCCTATTCAAATTGCAGAAGAAGTTCTATTACCTATTGCAGAATTTCATCGTGATATTTCACATGGAAGACTATATGCAGCTATATTAGAACAATATTCATTAGTATTATTAAAATACTGTCAAACAGTAACTATTTTGGAAGAGTGGTGTAAAAAAAAGGCTTTAGAGTGTTTAAGAAAAGCATATGACTATCGATGTTTAATAGGAATGGGAATTTCAGGATATGCAGCAGCTATTTATCTTGAAAATTTAAAGTATTTTGATCCTGAGAATCTTAAAGGTCCTATTGTTCATTATGAAGAATATTAAATAAAATACTCTATTTCATCATTAGGTTTTATTTAACTAATTTATTTTAATAAAATATCAGAAATTTCAAACGGTATCAAAGATAATTCTTTTGATAACAATTTGGATTTGTTTTTTAATTTTTTAAATAAGGTTCAATTAGTGTTGTTTCATTATTTCCTAAAATAAAAAAAGTAGAAGCTTTTGTTAGTTACTTTATTTAAAAATGTCTACACCCCTTTTTCTAGTATCACTTTTTGATTAACTGTTATAACTATTTGACAAAGAATATTTTTTTCTATTTTGGTAGTTAAATAAAATTAAGTTTGTTTCTTTTCTTATTTGAAAAGAGCATAATATTATGTTTGTATTTAAAAAATTTCCTGTTATCATTACAACCATATCTTTTTGTCATAGAAAAAAAATGAAGGGGGTAATGACTCATCAAAAAGAAAATCTTCTTTTCTGAAGTTCTTATGAAGAAAATTTAAAAATCAAATATTTAAGAATAGTTATTTCTTATTATTAAAATTATTATTTATCGCAATCTTTTCATATGTCTCTAACTCCCGCGACTTCAAAGTTTTCTAAGATATGAAATAAAAGACCTATATAAAACTAAACACACAGTCTTTATTTTTATTATGCAATCACCTCAAAACACAAATTCTTGTTTCAACCAAGTTGTACAAGAATCTCCTATCTCAAATTCTGTTCCTATAAGTTTTACAAGGAAAGTTGCCAGAAAACCAGCATGTAACTGGTCTATTGAAGAAGACCGTAAATTACTTGATGCTGTAAATAAATTTGGAAAGTCTCGATGGGTTGCAATTGCTGAGTTTGTTGGGAGTCGATCCAGAAAGCAGTGTAGAGAACGTTATATAAATCATATCTCTCCAATGATTGACACAAGCGAATGGACACCTAAAGAGGACTCTGTTATAATTCAAGGGCATGGAAAATATCTTAACTCATGGAGTAAAATTGCTAACATGTTAAAAGGAAGAACTGCACATGCTGTAAGAAATAGATATTATAGTCTCTCCTCTAAAATTTCAACATCAAAAACTTGTTTTGTTCCAACATCTTCTCCTTACACTGTAACTTACTGTGGAGAGTTATGGTAATGGTTCATTTTTTAATGCAACTACTTCAAAAGATATTGTAAATTCACTTTGTAAAAGAATTAATGAATTTTTTCTTTTCATAAATCTCAAATGAACTGAGTTAAAATCTTATGACGTAATAAATAATTTAAAAAAATTAAGAACATTCTTCATATTATTATAAGAACTTTCTATATCTTTTTTTTCAATCCTAAAGTTATTTCTTATTTCTATTCCCTTGAGACTAGTTTTAATCTCAACTCTAATTCTTTGATTAATTTAAAATTATTTTTATCATTATTATTTATTAATTTTTTCGTTGGTTTCATTTTAATTAGTCTTCTTCGTATAGTTTTATGAATATCATTTGTTAATAAAATAATAATTTATT